CTCGGCGGTTGGAGTCGATGATTGCCTACGTTGATTACGTTTTTGGTGTGTTTTTTTTTGGGGGGCTTAAAATGAAAAATTTAAATTTTTTAAATGTAAAAAATTCGAAAAATAATTATTTTTTGGCTGGAATATCCCTGATAGACCGATTTTTTCATCTTGCAGGTTGGAAATTTCAAAAAACCTCGAAAGGTATCAAAAAGTATCCAAAAAGTTAAAATCTCAAAATTTACGAACTTTGTAATTTTAAATGCTTGAATATTTGAATAATGATATCTTTATGCATAAAATGTCCCAACCATATCAATTTTTTTCACTATAAGGCCTTGAAATTCCAAAAAACCTCAAAAAGTATCAAAAAAATTAAAGTCCCACAGAAGTCCCAAAACTCCCCAAAATTCAAAATTTTTGCCTCCACTCCCTTCCACATCCGTATCAAACACGTACACAGTCGAGTTGTACATATTCCGTATTCGAAAAATATAGTTTTCGGCCCGAAAAGTACTGTAGGATTAGGGTTTCTAGAAAGGATAAATAGGAAACAAGATTACGAAAGCTGTTATGATGGATGTGAGGGCACGCGGGGAGGGGCCTTCTAATGGGATTAGCGACACTGTTTACCGCTGTTTCGACTAGTTTGGGTCAGTTTTAGAGGGAGGAAAGCCAGATATTATATGAATATTAGTGCTTTATGGATGGGAAAGTGCCGGAGGGCATAAAAGCCAATATGTTTTTTAGTGAGTATATACCATAGCAATTTCAGAAAAAGTCGATCCGCGCTGTGGGGAAAAGAAAAAACTTCAAAAATAACTTTTGTTTAAATTTGTCTCGGATTTGAGGGTCTTCTTGTCGAAAACAAGGTAAATTCTCGAAGCACAAGCACATATTTTGTATTAAAATTTTGCGTATACCCTCTAAATGGACTAATTATCAATTGCTGAAAATATTAACGCTTGCTTTGCAAGGGCAGTCTAAATATTTTGTGGCGAAAATTTTGAAAAATCTCGATTTTTCAAGATTTTTCGGCGCCGACCGCGTCGCTGAATTGAAAAGAAATCTGATTCTGCCACGAAGACAATTGATTTTCTTTGCCATGATACGATTTTTGTTGCGACAGAGTGCTCATTGTTTTCCCGACGGACTGATATTCCTAGACTTGTCTATAATACCACTAAAACATCCTAGTTTCGTTTTTTAACTAAAACTTTCGCTGCTTTACTCTCCATAGCCGCTAAAGATAGCTTGCATCTGGTCTTTAGACCTTAACATATTGAATGTCTTACCTTTGACCAAGCTCCAATGACCTTAACTTAGCCTTTCTTGGCCTTCGTCACCTCCAAATCCAACGTGGTCGCCTCCCACATCGCCCCCGCCCCATGCCTGACCTCACCCACTATTGTTTTGGTATTTACTTGCCCCGGTGTGCGCTAAGCCCGTCCCCGAGGACCGCGACCGGCCGCAGCGTGCCGTAGGCGTTTCTGAAAATGGGGATTAAGGGCGAAAATTAGTTTACGCAAAGCGACATTACACAAATTCTTCGTTTATTTTGGTTTTGCGTCGCGCACGGTGGACGCCGCACCTGGGTGGGGCTTTTGTAGGGTTCCTAGAGGTTTGTGATGCCATGGGGAAGTTGAATTTGGAAGGTTGAATGTGAGGAAATGTAGGAAATGTTTGGATTTGGCTTCGGATGCTGATTTTTTAGGGGTTTGATGCTTTAGAGGCAATTTTTGGAATATTTAAATATGTGGAAGCTTGGAGTTTGCCTGGCTGGGTCGTCTGGAGACATTGTAGACTACAAATACCACGATAAAGTTCTATTCGAAACGAAATTTTTTGCGAAAAAATGAAAATTTGGATTTTTGGAGGCAAAATAGCTTTTTTGCGATTTTTCAAAACTTTACTCTCTCTAAAGTATAGAAACTAGACAGTATAATAACTGATGAGTCCTTGAGATTATGGTGATACAGCAATTGATCAAAATCTCTTTTCGAAACTACCAAAAATTGGGCAAAATCCCCAACCTTCTCCAATTTTTGATGATTTTTCAAAGTTTCCCCCAAAATACCAACTCAAAAAGTAATTTAGTTACCGTATTAGAACTCCAAATTTCCCTCACACACCCCACTACACTCCCATTATCCCGGCGGCCCGCCGCATCCCCCAAAAACACCATTAAAATCACAACCAACCGGCCGGACTACGGTAGAGAGAGCCTCAGCCCGCTTCAAAAGCGGCGTGCGTCTTTTTTGATTCGCCGCGTCTTCAAAAAAACAAAAGCCCGCCACGCCAGTCAAAGAAGTCCGCTCTTATATAAGCGGGCCGTCGGCGGTGATAGCATTTGGGGGCCGAGCGGAGCCGCAGGAATTAGTATTTCGAGCAATTTTTTTGTTTTACTTGAAGGTTGCGGTATTTTTCGATGGTATTGTGTGAATGGAATTGGGCTGGGCGGTGATGAGACTGTATAGGCTTGATAGTAAATGTGGTTTCGAGGAGTTACAGGGAAAAATTGTTAAGTAGTAATTGATTTTTAGCATTTTGGACGTTTTTTGAGGGGTCTGGAAAAAACTGTCATAACTTTTTACATTATCAAGGTAATGACAAACTTTTCGGCTCAGTCGAAAGACTATAGACTGCTGTATAACATATAATATTGCCAGTTTTCTATCAGCCCGCATTTTTTCAAAAAATCCCATTTTTCCAAGAGTCCAATGTTAAAAAATTTTTTCAAATTTCCCTCAAAAAATCGCCCCTTACCCCACCATTCCGCCAAAAAATCATCCCTCACCCCATCTTTATCCCATATTCTCTCCAAAAATTCCAAAAACAGCCCCTCATTTTCTCCAACCAACCATAATTTGCATATTTCTCCCATATTCATCTTCCATTCATCTCATTTGTGCCAGAAAAAACTTCTCGGCCAAATTTTCGCATTGATTTTTACCTGTATCGGACCAATAGAAGTTTTTTTATGAATATATTACTTTGTCCCCATTGTTTTGATCACTTTTTTGCTTCGATTTTTTGTCTACGGCCCTTTTTGTTCCGAATTTTGGGGGAATTAGCGAAATTATGGAAGTTTTGAGGCGAAAAAAGAAGCTAGTTTTATTGTAAAATACGAGCCAATTCGGTATTTCTGCGATTTCTGATTTTTTTTTATTTCCGCACCGTGCAGCCCAAAATTTGGCCTATTTTTCGCCTTGCACCGTGCAGTCCAAAATTTGGCTTATTTTTCGCTCCGCACCGTGCAATTTTTAAAAATTGGGAATTTTGAGCTGCACAGTGCAGGAATCAAAATAGTAAAGTGAAAATAGGAAAATTTAGTTGCGGAATATGTTGAATGTAAGGACTTAGACTCAACCACGTGACAGAAAATGAACCCTGGACCCGTGTCCGATAATCCTGTAGACTAATCTTGAAGATGATGACCTTGAGGGATTGTTTTTGAAATTTGTGGAGCTTAGATTCCTTTGAAATACTATAATTAATGTATTCTTAGGTTTTTGGGGGTTTTGAAAAATGAAAAAAAATAGAATTGGCTAGAAATATTTTTGGGAATTTTTGAGGTTAAAAATGTTAAGAAAATATTTTATTTTCTATTTTTTAAAAATCAAAAAGAAATTTTGGACCTAAAATTTATGAAAAAAAATATTTTTTATTTTTTACAAATTTTAAAAAATCAGAAAAATATTTTAAAAATTATTTTTTGACCTAAAAATTCCAAAAAATATTTTTTTTATTTTTTAAAAAATTTTAAAAAATCAGAAAAAATATTTTTTTTGCTAAAAATTTTTAAAAAAGAATTTTTAAAAATTTTTAAAAAATCCAAAAAATATTTTGAAAATATTTTTTTGACTTAAAAATTCAAAAAAATATTTTTATTTTTTGAAAAATTTCAAAAATATTAAAATTTCCCCTAATTAATTTCCTTGTTCTCCAAAAAATTTCGCCCCAAAAAAAATTTTCGATTTGAAGGCACGAGTCGGTCGTTTTGGGGATTCTGAATCACTCTGCTGTCTTGACATTTGGCCCCCGCTCGGCCTCTTCTCTTTTGCTTTGCGTTTTTGTTCGCTGTTACAATAATCGGACGAATCCGAAGGGGCTGCGAATTTTTGTTTTTTGATTATCTTTAAGGTTATTGTAGTATTTAGGCTGGAAATGTTTCGAAAAAGTTTTTGGTGAGGGAAGGAATCGGGGAAATTCGGAAAGATAATGGCAGAGCGGAAACGGAAAGGTTTTAAAATTGGCGAATGACGTCATTGGAAAATTTGGGACTTTGAAACTTGAAAAAAAATTACATCAAGATATTACACTTGATCGAAAAAGTGTAACATTTCGGAAACAAAGAGGGTCTTTGGCCTGGAATTTACCCTATTATCAGCTGTAAACCGCATGTCAGCTGACTGTTGCGAAATCAGGTTAATTTTGAGTAATTTTTGTATCTCAACTTTGATAGAAACACCTAAAATAAGGTCGCCAAAACCCTGCTTAGATGTCTCTTTAATGCCGAAAAAATAGCGTCAATTTTTCTTCAAGTCTTACTGTAGTTAATGCTATATTACGCTCTGGACAAAGTTGGTTATTTTCTTTTGATTTTAAGGTTGAAAGTTGGCCATCAATATGACCAATTTTGACCTAGAATAAGGTAAAAAATCTCAGTTTTACCTCCTTCTAAAGTCAAAATTATTTTTTTATAGTCTTACTGTAACTATTTTTTTATAATCTCAGCTATTGATCATTCTTGTATGTTTTTGTTTTTAGTTATAAATTTGGACTTTAAAATCGCCTCTTCCACCTAAATTAATACCCATATATCTTGGCCCATACCACTTTTTATTGCCCAAAATTTCACCGAAATTTTCCCTCATAATCTACTGTATACAATACACGTTCGCGTTAGTCATTTGGCGAGTCAATCCGCTAACCGCCGCCCTGTTTAAAGTCCCTTCTTCCCCACCCAAGGTCCCGTGCCGAACGCCTCCATCAGACTGGACTTCTCGCGCATGCCCACCTTTCCGGCGGCCACGCTCGGCACCGGTCAGGAGTTTTGCACCGAGCTGAAGGCGCCCGAGGGCGCGCTCTTCCTCAACACGGACCCCACCGCCAACCACGCCTCCTCCACGCCGTCCACGCCCTTCGACAACTACAGCCTGTTCAGCAACACGTTCTACCCGCCCACCCCGATGAGTGCGGCCGTGATGAACGGCGCGGGCATGCCGCCGGGCATGAGCAACGCCATGATGGACTCGCGGCGTGCGGCACAGGTGCAGAATAGGTGTGTGGGGTACTGTAACGGAGGTTTCGGGGATACTGTAACAAGGCTTGGAGTAGTGGGTTAAACTGTCGCAAAGTTTGAACTACTGTTGAAAAACATTGGCCTGATAAAGCCAGGCCCTTCCTGAGATGTTGTAGGAGGTTACCGAGGCATTTTATCATATCAAGGCCTTTGTGGTTACTGTAACAAAGGTTTCTTGGGATACTGTAACCAACTTTGAATCAGTGTAATAAACTGCGGTTTGATAAAACAAGACCCTTTCTGAGACACTGTAGCAAGTTACAGGCCCATTTCAACAAACCAAGACCCTAGTGGGTTACTGTAACAAAGGTTTCTTGGATACTGTAACCAACTTTGAATCAGTTTAATAAACTGCGGTTCGATAAAACAAGACCCTTTCTGATATACTTTAGCAACTTACAGGACCATTTTAACAAACCAAGACCCTAGTGGGTTACTGTAACAAAATTTTTTTTTTCAAAACTTCTTTTTGAGATTTGTCGGGATTTTGTGATTTTTCAACATTTCATCTCCAAATTTCCCCTTAAAACATCTTGCCATTATAGAGTACAACCCACCCGCTACATTTTCAAGTGGTATATAAGGTCATTTGCGTGAGATATTCAAGAAAGTTTTCATTTCTAAGCCATTTTTTGATGATTTTGCTAATTAATAATTGTTTTCATTGTTTAAAAATTGGATGAAAGCTAAAATACGAAATATCCCATAAGGCGAGAGCTCTGTAAAGGCCTGTACGCCTTTGTCTCTGAAGATTTGCGCTGTAAACACAAGACATTTCCTTTTTTCTCCGAAAATCTCGGCTCTAATGCCCCTCAGTCCCTTTCTCTCATTGGCTATTTACGTTGCGCTCTAAATGGCTTGAGGGGATTTTGTGGGGCACTCGGAGAAGTTTTGGTTTACACTCGAAGCAGATGAATTGATTAATTGGGCAAACAGTCCTGCTCTCGGCCAAGGTAATTGTCGGTTCTGTAGAGTTAATTAAGTCCGTATATGGTGCTCGGAAGTTGCGCTAATACTGTGACTGTCCTCGTTGTGTCGTTTAATTGCTGGTTCTGGCTTCTATCGACATTTTTCATCGAAAAATTTGGAAATTCCCTCATTTTTCGACAAAACCTTAGAATTTCAGCTAATTTCTCTCAAAATTCCCTTAGGGTTTTGTCGGCATTGCCGCCGAATCTACAGTATACAAGTTGTAGTGCAGTTGAAAATACATTTCACCACGTTCTGACGCTTTTAACTACAATTTTTTTCAAGAATTTCGTCAAAAACGCCAAAAATTGAGAGTTTCCAAGGAAAAATTTGAATTTTTCGCAAATTTGCAAAAAATCCCGCACTTCAACGGCACTCTCAGACAGTACGTGGCCTTTGGCGTCAATGCACTTTTAGCGCCGCTCAATAAAATTGTAGTTTGTTCAGCGAGAGGCCGGCTTTTCGTTGCCGTGCGTAGGTCGTTTGATGGCCCGAAAAGTATGGTCCGCGTACGTGGAGTGTAAAGTCCCGCTGTTTGCAAGTCTGCCCTTAAATGCGACACATAAAGGGCTAACATTTTTGCACTTCTCTCGGTTACAGCCCGCATTTACAACGCAAATTTGGGGGCTTCTAGTCTAATGGGGCGGCTGGAGATGTTTAATGCACAATAATGTCAATAATTTTGTTTGCAGGGGCAATTACCAAATGCCATTGGACACGACGTTCCCCTACAACCCGCTCTACCTGCTCGGCCAGAACAACGCGGGGCAGGGCAATGTGCCAACGACGGTGGGGCTGAGTCGCAGCTCGCAGGCGCCCGGACAAGGCTCGCCCAACTTGAGCAACTCGTTGATGAGGTTCAGGTAAGTTCTAGTCAAAAATCTCTATATGCTATTGTAGCCAGTTTCTCATCCTTTCTTTTGAGCCATTACACATTGATTGAGCTATAACGGACGGCTTGATACAACGAATTTTTTGGATATATCCCCGAAAATTCCGAATTTTATAAAAAATCTCAAATTTTGCCGCTAGGGATTTGTTGGCTAAAAGTCATTTACAGTGTCTAAAAACAGAAAGTCTATCCTTCAGAATAAGGTATATATCATGGATTTTGCTGCAGTCAAATTTTTGGTATAGCCGAATTTTGGAGATGCGTCAAAAATCAAGATCTTTTTCGTTTTTTACAAAAACGCTTCGCAAAAAAGCTGTGCTTTGCAATTTTTTCCCACAATACCCAAAAAAGCCCTCTGGCTATCCGACAATTTTTTCAAATGTCCTAAAATTCCCTCTATCTTTCTCAAAACCCCACTTTCAGCATGTTCGACAACCCCTTCAGCGGGATGACGGAAGCCCAAATGAATCAGATGAGCTTGAACTCCAACATCAACTCCGGCCAGAACCTGATCAACCTGGACGCTGGGTGCTCCAGCGGGCTGGGCATGAATCAACCGATTGACGAGCAAAAGCTGTGCGCCGTCTGCAACGACCACGCAATTTGTCAGCATTACGGGGCGAGGACGTGCGAGGGATGCAAGGGGTTCTTCAAGGTGAGGATTTGATCATTTTCTGGAGAATTTTCTTCGATTTTAAGGTGGAAAAAAGTGTTTTAGGGCCTTGAAAAGCCAAATTTCAAAAATTAAAAAAAAATTTTAATTTTGCTTTCATTTTGAAAAATTTTAACATTTTTGCATATTTTTGCGTTTGAAAAGGGAAATTGATTTTTTTTTTTTTCTGTATGCAAATCGTTTTTAAATATCTGCTAGACCGCATTCTCAGCTCTTTGGGGACATCTTATACGAATTTTTTGAATTTTTTGAATTTTAATTTTAATTTCCCCAATTTTCAGCGAACCGTCCAAAAAAAGGCGCAGTACGTGTGCGCCGGCACGAAGAACTGCCCGATCGACAAGCGCTACCGCAGTCGTTGCCAGTACTGTCGGTTTCAGAAGTGCCTGCAAGTGGGGATGGTCCGTGAAGTGGTCAGATACGGCTCGCTTCAAGGCCGGCGCGGCCGCCTCCCCTCCAAGGCCAAGTCCGTTCCCCAACCGGATCAGGAGCTCTCGCCCGCCATGAGTATTTTGTCGATGATTCAGAAGGCGTACGACGCGCGGCCCGTCAACTCCATGCAGCCGATCAAGAAGCCGGCCGACTTTGAGCTGATGGCGCAGCTGCTGGACCTGGAGTTCAGCTCGATGCACTTGAGTCTGCAGAAAATCCCGGACTTCTTGGACCTACATCCGTTGGACATTAAGATTTTGGGCTACCGGAATTTCTTCCCGTTCATTGCGGCGAAATACGCGATGCGAATGGCGAATTCAGAGTGAGCTTAACATTAAAAAAAATAAAAAAAAAGAAATGCTGACTTATCAGTCTGTCGGGAAAATAATGTGGATTTGTCGCAGCAAAATTTCTAGTCGTAGGTATCAAATCTCCAGCCGTCGAAAAGGTATGATGGGAGATTCCAAGGATTCCAATTATTTTCCCGACAGACCAATATTGGGCCACAGCCACTCTTATCAGTTTGTCGGGAAAATAATGAGCCCCCTGTCGCATCGAAAATCGCATCAAAAATGAACTGTCCTCGTGAGAAAATCAAATTTCTTTTCACTTCAGCGACGGGATTGGCGCAGCAGAATTGTGCTCATTATTTTCCCGACAGACTGATATACATTTATATATTCTCTCTCCGTCAAAAAAAGAGTTGTTTTAGAGACTCTTGGCCATGAAAATTTGGCCCATAGTCTTTTCAAAACTGTATTTTTTCAAAACAATTCTTTGGCCATTTTTTTCTATTTTTGACTTTAAAAAAATCATTTTTTGAAGAACCCATACCGTATTTTACAAAAACAATATTCGTATTTTAGAGTCCAAGACCATGTCGTTTTCGATTCGGGTGTCCAATTGGCCATCAACGAAATGCCCGGCCCATTCCAGACGTTTTTCCGAGCGGTTGCCGTCGTTTCGTCGCGAATGCAAGCCATCGTCGAATGGGACAAAAGCAACAACTCTTTCACCTCAATGCTGGTCCTGCAGTTCTTGAAACATCAGAAGGGTAAGTCGGAAACTGTTTTTTTGAAATTTAAACCAGATTTTTTGGGAGAAAATTAATTGAAAAATTTTTGCCAAAGATCAAAAAAATTTTTTTTTTCGAAAATGTTTGCTATATAAAGGTTTGTTGTAGACTGACAAAAGTTTTTGGACCTTTTCTTATATATCTAATTACTTTTTTCTCATCTTTTTGCACCTTAACCCACTTTACTTCAAGTTTTAAATTTCAGCCAATCAGCGACGAGCAACTTCGACTTCGCTGATTGGCTCAAATTCTATTTTGGTTTTTTTGCGCGAAAAGCAGTAAATCAGTGAGAAACAAAAATCGAGTTCTACGTATTTTACAAAATCAGGCTTTATCTCTAAAAAATGTCAAATTTTAGATAGCGATGAAGAGAAAACTTTGATGAATGGCGGCATGGTCGACAAATTGTACCATACGATTGTGAACGCGCTCAAGGATCATTGTTGTGGAGCGACGTCGCACAACTCGAGGCTACAAAATATCATGACTCAGGTAAATTTTTGAAAATTGGAAAAAAATTTGAAAGATTGAAAAAATTTAAAAAAAAATTGAAATAAAAAAATGAAAATTCATAAAAATTTTTTTGAAAATTTGAAAAAAAATGAAATTTTGAAAAAAAAATCAAAATTCGAAAAAAATTTTTTGAAAATTTGAAAAAAATGAAATTTTGAAAAAAAAATTGAAAATTCGAAAAAAAAAATTTTTTGAAAAATTGATAAAATTTCAAAAAAAATCCTTACAAAACATCCCATTCTAACCTCTCTCCAATTTCCAGACCGACAGTATGCTTCCATTCCGCGCGTTGGGCTTCTTCTGTCTGCAGGAGATGAACAAGAACACGCAGGTCAAGGCCCAATTCATGGAGATGCAACAGGAGGGCCAACGGCTCGCGTTGCCCCCACCAATGATGGGCTCCAACCTGAACCTGTTCATGCTGGGATTTGAGCCGGAGATCTTGCTGCAGCTGGGTCAAGTGTTGCCTCAGGCCGAGCCCGGGCCGTCGGATAGTCTTTCCGGGATTAAAAACGAGTTCCCCTACTGAAAACCTTGTGATTTCTGCGATTGTTGATACCGCTGTTGGTAGTTGATGTGTTGAGGAGTCTTTTGATACCAAACTCTTTTGGCTATGACAAGGGGGGATTTTGGAAAAAATCGATTTTGGAAATATGCCAAAATTTTGGGTAAAATCTTAATTTTGGTTTTTTCCGACAAAAAAAATTGGTTTTTAAAATACGAAAAATTCTTCATTGTGTCCCTTGTTATATCCAAAACATAGTAATGTATTCTATTTTTCACTATTTCCCTCAAAATTTGCATATTTTTCATGTCTTCTCCAAAGCTCAGCTCCCCCCAAAAAAACTCCCGTAGCAAAGTTACGGTAGCCGGCGTCCTCTTTGTCCGCATTCGGTGTGCACTATGACTAATAATAATGGACCACCGTACTGCTCCTCATTGTTTTGTCGGGCCTCCTCTCTCCGCTCTGTGAACATATTATTCATGACAACAAATCATCACCCCCCAAATATCATGTCTATCATATCCCCGAGCCATCCCCATGATATCACCACGCGCTCCACACTACATGTAGTCTTCAAGCAAGCATTTCGGATTTTCGCAGCCAATTCGAATTTAATTCCACATATTTTTCGCATGTTCCGCAATTTCCCGAGAGATTTCGAACAAAAATTTTTTTTTTTAATTTGCATATTCTTCCCCGCATATTTGTTGAAAATTAATCAAACTCACTGAAAACACTCCCCAAACCCCACGAAAGTGTAACTTATTTTCCACGCCGCTCGTATTATAAATATTGTTTTGTTTTGTCGGTCTTGCATATATCTCTCTCCCAAAGAAGCCCAGGAATTGAATGCCGTATAACACTGTCCGATTGTGTTGTATATCACTCGCTCTACATATGATTTTCGGTCGAATACTTCTATTTCTCAATCTGGTTGTACAATTTTCCCCATTTTTCTCATATCTTTTGCGTTTGCGGGGCTTTCGGCGAACGCACAGTGCAACGAAAAATTTTTTGATTTTGCACAGTGCGACAAAAAAATCTTGGATTCTGCACAGTGCAGGCGTCGCCTTAGGGCATTTTTGTAAAATTTAGTTGCAATAAGGCTAGTTCGATCCAGCACTGTGCTATTTTTTCCTATTTGCTCTTTGCACGGTGCAGAAAACGCGTGTTTTTCAAACTGCACTGTGCAGAAGAAAAATGGTCGCATTTGTGTACTGCATGCAAATTACAGTACCCAAAAAATATTTTTGAGCCGTTATAAAAGCCTAGCGATGTTATATGGCACATTTTTTCCCCCAAATTTTTACCGCACTGTGCAATTTTCCAGCTCCCAAAATTCCGCACTGTGCTGTCCAAAAAGTTATCGCAGAATCCCGCAAACCAAGCAAAACCCCGTTTTCTAAACAAATCCCATTGCTAAATTCTCCGTCGGTGTAGTTATAACTCTCTGTTTTGTCCCGAATACCATCATATATCATAATGAAAATGAGATTTTTTCGATGTTTGTAATAATTACCGTATCTAATTAATATTTTTTTGTAGTCTTTACTGTTGTGGACTTCAAATGTAATTGTTTAATAAACGTTTAATTAATGAGCAAATTGTAGTTTCTTCGATTTAAATTGCATTATGAAAAGATGGAAAGAAAAAAATGAGAGTTGTCGGGAAAATAATGAGCACCCAGTCGCCGCACGTCAAACTGAGGAGTCCGGTGGCCGGAATAGACTCGGCAGTGCACATTATCTTCCCGACAGACCGTTAAGCGCGGCGGTAACCCAATATCGATCTGTCGGGAAAATAATGTGGGCCTTGGACTCGCCCATCATCGCTTTGCAACGGCAAGCCGCGGCTGGGGATTTGGTGCCTACGACTAGAAATTTTGCTGCGAAAAATCCACTTTATTTTCCCGACAGACTGATCTGGCAAGGCAACGGTTTGGCCAATGGTCAACCGTCAAAGCGTGTGGACAATTGGAATCTATCGTGTGTATTGGCCGTCTTGTGTATTGTCGTATTTGGAGAATATAGAGGTCATAAGAGGTATATAGTTGTTGGAGTTTTGGGAGCGCTTGTCCAGGACAGCGTATTAGGATATCCGATGTCTGATCGTGTTGACGGGGGACCGAGGACCTGTTATTAATGATATGAACAGTAAGTCAAGAAATATCAGTCTGTCGGGAAAATAATGAGCAGAAATCGCGTGGTCGCCGAGAAAATTTATTGCGCCACACAGCGTTTCGAACATTTTTTCTCTTGCTCTTTTGAATCATAAATAAGCTTAAAGGCCCAGGAAAATGACTGAATTTATCTACGTTGTAGCTCTTGAAATTCTGCATACGATGGAAGAAAAAAAATTGTAGTTTAAGGCCTGGAAAGTACACTTTTTTAGCTGAAGGTTGAATTTTTAATAATTTTCGATCATTATTTTCTCAACATTAATATAACTAGTGGCTAGCCAAATATACACCGACTTGTAAGCACTACTTTTCATTTTTTCCTTTTTTCGACACCTATCGGCGGCGGAAAAATGTTCGAAACGCTGTGCGCCGCGGCAAAATCACTTTTCTTTTCAATTCAGCGACGCGATCGGCGCAGCTAACAAGGGAAGTGCCCCAAGTGCGACGCTCAGATTTTCTTTAAATTTTGCACACAGGTCGGTCATAGGTCGGTCATGAACTAAGTATCAATTCCTAAAAGTTTTAGCTCGCGCTTTGCAGGCGCCACCGAGATATTCAACGATTTTTGCCGCCAAGAGAGTACACTAAACGTGGAGAGCGGTCAGAGAGAAAAGCGCTTTTTGGCCATAACTTTGCTATTTTCGCGCGGAAAAAATTGATTTTTTGTGAAAACATTACCCTCGGTGCAGGAAATAGGCATGAAACTTTTCGCGCCCAAGTTTGGCAAAAATTGTCAAATTTTCGCCAACTTTCGATCCAAATATCTCGGTTGTTTCTGCAAAACGCGAGCTAGGATTCTCGCATATGTCTTAGCAAAAAACATTCCAACTTTGTGCTAAGTTTCATCAAAATCTGACAATGTGAGCGTCGCACTTGGGGTACTTCCCCTGTAAATTGTCCCCATTATTTTCCCGGCAGCCTTTAAAAAAGACTGTCCAATTTTGGTCTCAATACCACGGCACCTTGTGTATGTATAATAGTAGCTCAAGTCATGCATCACCTTGTTTTTTCATCTCTCGATTCCCCGACAAAACCCCGCTGGCATTACTTTTTCATTCAACCCGAGTTTGTTTTCCCCCTCCCTCGACCGCAAAAACAAAAACGAAATTTTTTGTCCGTAAAACCCGAATGGGCTGGGCCTAATTATTCAAAGTTTATTGGCACAACCGGAAAACACACAGAAACGATGTCATCATCTCTAACCCGCCGGTTACAAGATGGAATGGGGGAGAAAAAGTTTTTGCGCGCTTCACTCTGTCGGCGGGAGTTGGGGAATGCGGAAGAATATAATAGTTTCTGTTTTGAGGCAGAGGTACTATCCGGCTGTCGGGAAAATAATGAGCACACTGTCGCATCGAAAATCGCATCGCTGCTGAGAAAATGAATTGTCTTCGCGACAAAATCAAATTGCTTTTCACTTCAGCGATGCGATTGGTGAAGCGTCTTAGTGCTCACTATTTTCCCGACACTCTGATGATACTAGCGCCTCAATGCAAAGTCGATACTCAGATTTTCTTAAAATTTTCGCACACATGTAGGGCCCAGATACAGTGGCGGACCTGATCCGGCAAAAAACATGCCATTTTGCATCCCGGAAGTATCAAAAATGTGTCAAAATACCTCCATTTCCAAGTGAAAGACTCCGATTTCAAAAGCGCGCCCGCTCTTTTTGTGATGGAGAAGGCGCGCTCTTTAAAACGGAGTATTCCTTTTCACTTGGAGAGGGAGGTATTTTGCTGCATTTTCGATACCTCCCGGATGCGAAATAGGACGTTTTTTGCCACTGGATCCGGTCCTCTAATGCAAAATTAGCCCTCCTTTTCTCAAAATTCCCAGAATACCTCTAACAATATTTACAATTTAGAGTTTCATCACAACATCGCCGTTCAGTTCTCCTTTTGAAGCTCGCGTTATTTCCGCATTTCAATGGACTTCTTGCACAAGCCTTATAGGAACAGGGTTTCGCCGCCGAATCCGATTATAATATAGTCCCCCCTCTTATGAATTTACATTCGGCGCTTGATTGAATCTTGTCCGCGGGAAAGGCGGCACTAAAGAGCATAAAAAAGCCGTTTTCAGCGGATTCCGTGGCTCTGTTCTTCGTTTATATCACATCATTTTTTGGGGATTTCTTTTTTTGTCTCGGCGCAATCTTCGCAACGTTTAATGGATATATTTTTGGCTTGTTATGTAGAAAAAATCATGGTATTAGGGTTATGTAATTATGTGGTTTGTTTTCGAACGCCTGGGAGTGACATTAGGAAAACAAAAAACTTGACTTACAGAGGAAGTACTCCAAGTGCGACGCTCAGACTTTGATGAAACTTGGCACAAATTTAGAATAATTTTTTCTACGATATATTCAAGAATCCTAGCTCGCGCTTTACAGAAACAACCGAGATTTTTAGATCCAAAGTCGGCCAAAATTTAGGACTTTTTGCCGAATTTTGGCACGAAAAGTTTCATGCCTATTTCAACTGTATAGATAATAATGTTTCTACATAAAATCAAATTTTTCCGCACGAAACTGCCAAAGTTATGGCCAAAAAGCGTTTTTCTCTCTGACCGCTCTCCACGTTTAGCGTGCTCTCTCGGCGGCAAAAATCGTTCGATATCTCGGCGGCGCCCGCAAAGCGCGAGCTAAAACTTTCAGGAATTGATATTTAGTCCATACCCGACGTGTGTGCAAAATTCAAAGAAAATCTGAGCGTCGCACTTGGAGTACTTCCCCTGTTAAGATCATATTATAACAGAGTCCGGTTCGTAGATTACGCTTTTCAAAAACACCTGGGTAAGTCGTATCTGTTTGTCGGGAAAATAATGAGCACTCTGTCGAATCGAAAATCGCATCGCCGCCTTTGAATTGTCTTCTCGGCAAATTGTAACGATAAGTTTTGGGTGTTGCGAATACGTTGTCGCATCTTTCCAAACAACGACGGCACAAAATGCACAGCACGAAAAAAAGTCTACGCACTTTCTGGAACGACTAGTAGTACAGAGAAAAAGCATTTTTCTCCCTGGCCCTTCTCCGCATTTTCCCCACGCTCTTGTCCGCAAAAAACCGATGGATATCGCGGCAACCCGCCGTTATTTTCCCGACAGACTGATACATGTTCTACCCCCAATTTTTAGCTACCGGATTATCATCATTCGCCCTCGATATCTTTGCAATTATCAAATTGCTTCGCTCACTTTCTTTATCCGCTTACACATCACCTTGCCACACATCACGAAGCCGGTTTATTAGTACATGTTCGACATTGGCCGTTCCCCTTTTCATAACCGTAAATGGATTTTGCCGTTTCTTCTTTCGCGCGTCTCCCGAGTGCTGTTTGTCTCATAGTCATATAAAACTTGTATAAAAAAACTTTTATTTCGCCCATAAATAACCGCCTTCGTATTTTCGAGAGCGGTGGTTTCTACTGGGTGAAATATGTATGTAAAATGTGACGTTGTATTTCGCATTGGAAATTTTTTTCGTTTTATTCTGCGCTGTACATGATTCACGTTTTTTATCGTCAATTTGGTTGCAGTCTGTCGGGAAAATAATGTGGATCTGCCGCAGCAAAATTTCTCGCCTTGTCGCTAACCAAATCTCCAGCCGCGGCACCCATCGCAAAGCAATGAAGGGCAATTTCAACGCGCAAAAAATCCACGTTATTTTCCCGACAGACTGATGAAAAAATCTGTTGTGAAAATCTTGTTTGGCAAAACATAATTTTATAGTAAAAACGAAGACTTTGAAGGTGGGAAAAATGATGAAATTAGGCCTTTTCGGAGATACCCTGCAAAAAAATCGCCGGTTTTTGGTACTGTAAACCACATGATACTCAAAAATTTCTTCATTAGCCCTATAATTAGCTAATTGGCAATTTGCAGGGCTTTTTTTGGAAAGACTATTATTATACATCTCCTAGATTTATGGTGAACCTGCAGTGTATGATTAATTATAGATGATAAAGAAAAGAACAAAGAATGCTTTGCTGTCAAAAGAGTTTATAATTTACTTCCATATATTGACAATTCTATCTTTAATTCGCAAAACGTTTCGAATATACTTAGAGGGTTAGAAAAGTGTGGCATTTTTTCTGGCTTTCACCTGAAAAAAAAACGTGGAGCCTCTGGGCAACAATATTGCATACCACGTTTAATTGTGAGGGTTCCGACAGCCAAACCTTGACCAAAAAAACCTGATTGTGAGCCTGCAACTAAATGGTGAAGTACTCCAAGTGCGACGCTCAAATTTTCTTTAAATTTTGCACACACGTCGGGTATGGACTAAATATGAATTCCTGAAAGTTTTAGCTCGCGCTTTGCGGGCGCCGCCGAGATATCGAACGATTTTAGCCGCCGAGAGAGCACGCTAAACGTGGAGAGCGGTCAGAGAGAAAAACGCTTTTTGGCCATAACTTTGGCAGTTTCGTGCGGAAAAATTTGATTTTTTGTAGAAACATTATCCTTTACGATTGAAATAGGCATGCAACTTTTCGTGCCAAAATTCGGCAAAAAGTACTAAATTTTCGCCGACTTTCGGTCTAAAAATCTCGGTTGTTTCTGCAAAGCGCGAGCTAGGATTCTCGTATATTTCTTTAAAAAAAATTATTCTAAATTTGTGCCAAGTTTCATCAAAATCAGAGCGTCGCACTTGGAGTACTTCCCCTGTAAGTCCCATTTACTACTTTTTTTCAAAATTGCGTATAGACTTTTTGTCCCAAGGCGATTTGATTCTCGATGAGGCAGAGAGCTCATTATTTTCCCGACAGGCTGATACTATGTTCGTACTATGTTCATACTATGTTCATACAATATAACATCTATTTTCGGGTCGAACTTTCAGTCCAAAGACCATTCCAGCTCCTCAATTCGGAGTTTACTCCACATCACGTCCAACACGACCCCCTTCACTCGAATGGGTTTTCCATTATTGCGCAATACTCATTTTGTCTTTGGCCGAAAAATTAGT